GGGGATGGGGTAAGGGGACAACATATGAAATGTAAATAAAATATCCAATAAAAAAATTATAAAAAAAAAAAAAAGAAAACACATGAACCTTATGTCTCCAAAAACTTGAAACTCCAGAAAGAAACAATCTGTTGGGCACACCCTTTCCAACCAAATTCACAGTATATGTAGTACCAGGCTGGTACTTTGCTAACAGTGACTAGCATGCATGTCAAGGTCAGCATTCTTGTTGCAGATGAAGTCATTTCCTGGAAAAGCAGGCACTAAACAAAACAAAAAAAGCACTGATTGCCATCTGTTGCCAATAGACAACATATTTTTTTTTCTGAAAGTTAAAAAAGTTACTAGTTTCATGTTTTTTGAAAATAGTTTCCTTGACACAACTAAAGCCAAAATTTTGTTCACCAAAATCCTAAAGATGAACAGAATAATTTTAGTACTGCTGGACTATGATCTTGTTTTCTTACTATACTGTACTCTATCCTATACAAAGACTGCAACTAAAACAAACACAGCAGCCAGATCAAATGATGCCCTCCAACCCCACATGCCCCGTGTGTGCTTGTGTGTGTGGAGAGAAACAATAGTTCTCAAGCTGGTATTCACTGTGTGAGTACAGAAACACATAAAACACAGTAAACACTATATACTATAGTTTAGTATAGACAATAAACTAAAAAGCTTTAGGATATCTTTATTTAAAAATAAAATTAGGCTGGTCAGTGATGGTGACAGATTTTAGTCCCAGCATTTGGGAAACAGAGGTAGCTGAATCTCTTGGGTTCAAGGCCAGCCTGGTATACAGAATAAGTTCCAGGACAGCTAGAGATACATAGAGAAACTTTCTCTTAAAAAAAAGTAAATAAATAAATAAATAAATAAATAAATAAAATCATCACAAACAAAGCTAAAAAGCTAAACTTACACAGGGTGCCAGAGAAGAAAAAGACTTAGTTTGAGATTATCATCAACTACTGCCTTTCTTTAAGTGATTTTTCTCTCTGTGTTTTAAGCAATATTAACTTTAACTTTCAGTGGACATCAGATCAATAACAGGGTTTTTAAATATCCATCATTTTTATTGCACATTAATGGAGTATCTTTCCTATGTTCCTAAAGTGAGAAAAAATTATGACAAAACATACACATTCTCTTACTCATTAAATATATGTACTCACCTATAAATTCTAAAGACATTAATGACTACAATCTGATGGGCATATTCTAAGGATAAATTAAAATGGGAACTATTTCCTAAGGCAGACGACACACACTGTAATTTAAGCATGCAGGAAGCTCGGAAACTCAAGGTCTATCTTAATAAGCTGTCAGGAGGTATGGGTGTGAGAAGGCTGTCACATGACAATATTTTACATTTTAAGAACATCTAGTTACTTACAACTGCAAACTCATCTCTGTCAAGCTTTCCATCGTGGTCAATATCACTCAACTCCCAAACCTTAAAAAAGGAAAGTGAGAACAATTAGTGTTCTTTACTTTATGTGCAGGGACAGGAAGAGAAAGTATACTAGTAGAATATGAGAGTGCCTAAGGCTAAGTATCTTAAAAGGAATCTGGACTTTGTCTTAGTTGCAATGAGAAGTTACTAGAAGGTTAAAGCAAGAAAATTGAATTATTCAAAGTCTAGGAATCTCACACTGATCACACAGTAGAGAAAAGGTTAGAAACAATACTAGAAGAGAGCTTTTAAAAACCAGTTTTGAAAGACATGGTGCTGCATGCCTTTAATCCCAGATTCAGTAGGCAGATGCAGGCAGATCTGAGTTCAAGGCCAGCCTGGTATACAAAAATGAGTTCTAGGGAAGCCTGGGCTACACAGAGAAACAGTCTCAAAACAACAAACCAAAGTCTATATTTATTAATGGCCCAGGAATGGTAGCACAAGTATTTCTGGCAATGTGATGGCAGTCATCACCATCCCACCATGGCATCTAACCTTCTGAGTGTGTAACAAGCTCTGTACTAAGTACATGACATATATTATCACATTCAGTCCTTGGAACCCTATCAACTGAAACACGTATGCCCACGTCAAAGACCTGAAAACCAACACACAGTTTTTCTAAGGACTTTCCCAAAGTCACTTAACTATGAAGGGAGGCAGCTGGGATTTGACCCTCTGTGGCTGTTTACACAAAGAATTACACAAAGAGCTTGGTATATAAAGCTTGGTTGTGGTAAAACATGAAGGAAGAAAGGAGATAAATTATATTGGAAACAGAACAAAAATGACAAGCAGTAGGGAGAAATCCAGACAAAATTAGTGATCAAGAATTTATTTTAGCATTTCTTAAAATCCTGAATACAACAAAAGAGAAGGCAAATAATTACCATATGCAAATTTGAGTTTTTTATAAAAATAAAAAACTTATTAACAAAGTCAAAGAATTAAAGTCTTAAAACATTCAAGAAAAAGATCTAGATAGGAAAGTAGGAAATTCAAGTTAAAGTTTATGATTTCATCAGACAAGAAACTGAAGAACAATGTGGGGAAACAGCTAAGAAGAAAGATATGGAATTATAGATGAACACACACAAGTTGAATAAAGAAAAAATAATTTCTGAACACACCAAAATAGAACTTTAATCTTAGAAGATGAAAAAGTCATGATGGTGATGGCGGTTACACAACAACATGTCACTATGCCTAACACTACTGACTAAACATCTGACACATGAGCAGGGGAGTTCTTGCCACGCAAGCATGAAGGCCTGAGTTCAATTCCCAGACACACATAAAAAGGTAGGTGTCAGGAGATGGCTCAGAAGTTCAATGTGCTTGTTGCTCTTGGAAAGACCCAGGTTCAGCTCCCAGCACCCAGATGGTGGCTCACAACCATCCATAATGCCATTTCCAGGAGATCCAATGGCCTCTTCTGACCTTTATGAGCACCAGACATGCATACGGTGTACATACATACATATATTCAGGCAAACCATTCATACACATAAAATAAATTGTTAAAAATAAGTAGGTGTCTAGGTGTTGGTAGTGCAGGCCTGTGGGCCCAGTACCGGAGTGGCAGAGCTCCAAGTTAAGGAAAGAATATGTCTCAAAAACTAAACAAAACAAAAAATAAGGTTAAAAAAAAAAAAACACACAAGGTAGACAGTTCCAGAAGAGCATCAGCTGAGGCTTCCACATGCAAGTATACACAGAGAAAAACAAAAACAAAACCCCCCAAAAGACAGAAACTTGACAGTTTAGCAGATAAAGGAGCTTGGTGCTTGCCAAACCTAACAAACTGAGCTCTATACCCAGGACTTACATGGTAGAAGGAGTGAACAGAGTCCCTCAAATTGTCCCCTAATTTTCACAGTGGCATACTGTGGCACATACCCAACACACACACACACACACACACACACACACACACACACACTAATTAAAATGCAATTTTAAAAAGACAGAGGAGAAATAAAGGATCCTAAGATTTAAAGGTCTTAGTGAGATCAAATTAAAGGTTCACATACATCTAGGGAAAAAACCCGAAAAGCCTAATCAGAGAGCAAAATTTGTGATTTCATATTTCTTAAAACAAGATCCTATACTACATAGCATAAGGTGGAAAACATAAAATACACATGGTATGGGCTTGAAGAGATGGCAATTAAGAGCATTCGTGCTCTTCCAGAGGACTTGAATTAATTCTCTGCACCCACATGGTGGTTCACAGCTTCTTGTAACTCCAAACCCAAGGGATCCTATACCTGGTCTATACTCTATGAGCATCTGCACTCATATGTGTACACACACACACACACAAATTAAAATAAATCTTTTTAAAAAATATAGATGGTCCTTAGAATCTGTCAAAAAACTAGATCATTCACATATACATGGAAAGATACAAATATGCTTAATGGACTTACACATATAACTAAATCTTACCTCTCATATTTTATGGGAACAATTAAAACCAGAAATACAATGACAATAATGTTACAAATACAAAAAATTCTATACTGATACAACTTTAGTAAGATCTGTACATATTAAATTAGTGTTCCTGGTAAGAATAAAATTAGAATATATAATAACTGCATCTAGCACAATACTGAAATCTTAGCACTCATGAGGCTCAGGCAAGAGGTTCATAAGTTTTAAGCCAGCCTGAGGTATTCATTAAGAATGTTTCCAAGCAAACAAACTACATTTGAGGTTTGCTATCTTACTCTTCCAAGGATTTCCACAGGCAACTTAGAGTTGAGCAACACTGGTTTCACTTTATCACCAGACAAAAATCCATCCACTGGGCTTAAGCTGTCAAAAATTGCATCATATTTGGCTTTATCTTCAGGCTACAATATGAAAAAAAATGACAAGTTAAATAATCATGAAAAGGATTTAACTGCACATATAAGAATCAAATCCTCAAATAACAGATAAGATTTTAAGGTAACATTTTTTTAAAAACATTCTCATCAAAATATATTAAATAATTTCAAAGTGTCTCTACTAAAGACTAGTTGAAAGACTGTTTCCTTTTTCTGCTGTCAGAATCAAACCCAGAGATGGAATGCTCTGAAGAGCACCTAGTCTCCTCCAACAGACCTACAGCAACAAAGTAACACAACAGCAGTGATATTCTATTTTTCAGTTCCTTGAAAGAAAATGTTTTTTAAAATGTCACAAAACCTTAACAGAGCTAAGGCATTCCTCAAGATTTTCAATTTCAGATTTTTCCCTACACTATCTGAACATGCATATGAAAAGTCCAATGCAGAACAACATATTTTGAGGATAGGGAGAAAGGTATTTATAAGTAGGAAGCAAAGGAGATTCAAGAAACTTCCTTACCTTTACAGCCCATGGGAGCTCAGCAACTGAGGTCCCACTGGTTAGCAAAGGACTACTGGAGTCATGCTAGGAAATAAAGAGAACAATGAACTGTTCAAGTCCTCATGCTAATAATCAATGAAGAAAATGTGGTTTCTGTATTTAAATATATTTGTGTAAAATGCTGGATATCAACATTATTTTACTTTAATTAGACCTTAACCTATTGTCCACTGAAATAAAAACATTTTCATTTTGCCAAATTACTACACAGTAGAACAACACCTAAAACATATAACTGTGGAATTTCTGCTACAACTAAGAGTAAGATAATAGGCATCTAATCTGAACATTAACAAAAATACTTACAACCCAGTATTATTTAAGAAAAGCAGATTCAAACAAACAAACAAACAAACAATCTCATTTAGCACTTATAAGTTCCTTGTAATGATACCTAATAGCAGCACAATCAAGTTTTTATCTTTACATGGCTGAAGACAGGTGAATACATATGAAAAAATCCCTAGAATTATACCTTAGTATCTTTAGCTTATTAGTTTATTTTATGTGTATAGTTATTTTGCCTGCATGTATGTTTGTGTACCACATATATGGCTAGTGCCAATGTAGAACAGAAAAATATGTTGAATCCCCAGGAACTGGAGTTACAGACAGTTGTAAGCCACCATATGGGTGCTAAGAAGCAAACCTGAGTCCTCTGGAAGAGAGAACCCAGTGTTCTTAACTGCTATGCCATCTCTCTAGCCCTCTGAAGTTAAAAGTCTTAATACTTCTAAAACACTAAGCTTAAAAACAGAGGAGTTGGAGATACCTCAATGATAAAACACTTGTCAAGTAGGTATAAGGTCCTGGGTTTAGCTCCAGCAGCACCAAAATTAAATTTAAAATTAAACAGCCATTAAATTTCTGAACAAGTTTGGAGTGGAGCTAATAGTATCATATATATCCAAACAATAATAATTAAAACATTGTAAAAATCAGCACACAGATAAACAGGTCCATAATTCAGAGCAGAAAATTCATAAAAACATCAACATGCATATGGAAATTTAGGGCATCACTAATGTGGCATTCAAAATTGGTATGAAAAAGATTGATTATTCAATACATTGTATTAATCCTATTTAGTAGTTATATTCAGTAGTTATCACGAAGAATGGATTTGAATCCACTCATATCTCCAATAGGAATAACAAATACAGAAAAATAAACAATCAGTTTTACCTTGACAACTTGTTTACATAAAACATTTTTGTTGTGGAGGTAAATAATATAGCCCAATAAAAGGCAAATGACGATTTGAAAGAGTGTAGTTGCAAATGATATGGATGGAGAGTTAACTTCCTAATTTTTAAAGAACCTCTAGAATTCAGAAAGAAAAAGAATCATTCCAGAAAAATAGCCATGGTCTAAAATTAGACATTCTCATAAGTGGAATATAAACCATTCAGTATCTTAAGAACTAATCAGCCAGCAGTGGTGGCACACCCCTTTAATCCCAGCACTTGGGAGGCAGAGACAGGCGGATTTCTGAGTTTGAGGCCAGCCTGGTCTATAGAGTGAGTTCCAGGACAGCCCGGGCTACACCGAGAAACCCTGTCTTGAAAAACAAAAACAACAACAACAAAAAACTAATCAGCCAGGCGGTGGTAGTGATGGTGCCTTTAATCCCAACTGGAGAGGCAGAGGCAGACGGATCTCTGAGGCCAGCCTGGTCTACAGAGTGAGTTCCAAGACAGCCAGGACACAGAAAAACCATCTCAGAAGAAAGAAAAAGAGCAAAATTAATCACTCTTACCCATAAGCTAAAAAGACAAATCTCTTTATACTTTACATACCATTTGCCACCAAGCTGATAAGGATCTGTAAGTCTGATAACAGTATGCAAGCAAAAGCACAAGGAAATTGACATGCTGACCAATTGCTGGTAAAAGTGAGATCCTATATGCAAAACCTCTTTTTCTTATGTGTCCCAGGTATGAAACAGCTTTGGCTTCCAAGCCAGGCATCAAGCTAAAATGAACAAAGGACTGCCATCTGCTCTGCCCCTGACTGTAAGAACACCAACAAATAAGTGTCTCTTTGTCTACTGCCAGGGATTACATGGAAAAACTTTTAAGACAATCACTCTTGAGAGTTCATTTTTACATTTCTGCATACGGAAATTATATAAACAAAATTACGATTCATTGTAGCACTTTTTCTTAAAAAATTATCTTTATGTCTATTAGCTGGAATTTATACAAATCATATTAAATATAAACAAATACTATTCGGATAGTAAATAAAATTTATGTTAACTTACAAGTATCTCTTTAAAATGTTTGTTTTAAAGTTTATAGAATCAAATACATAAAATGCTACCATTAGAAAATTAAGAAATGTGTATTTATGTTTTCATATGCACATATAACTCTGAAAGACATACAGGAAACTAGTAACAGCAGTAATTACTAAGAAATAAAGCCAGGTAGCTAAGTGGTAGGAATTAAAGTAGAAAAAATTAGAATGTTACTTTTTATTTCAAATCATGTGGTATAATTTTTTATGAATGTAGTATGTATTCATGTAAGTTTCTGTGTGGAGGCCAGAAATTGACATCAGGCGTTGTCTTTATTCACTTTCCACTTTATTTCTTGGGCAGGGCCTCTCATGTGACTCAGAGCTCACTGATTTCACTTCTTTAGCTAACCAGAATACCTTGGGGAATCCAGTCTCACTATGCCTATCCAGCTTTTATGTGGGTTCGAGTGATTCGAACGCCAGCCCTCATGTTTACAGAGACAAGTGCTCTAACTAGTGAACCATCTCCCCAGCCTTGATCTTTATGATTAAATAAATTTTACATATAAAATAATTTCTTACAAATCTTGGTGGAGGAACAGCCAGATTTAGGCTACTCAGTGAAACTTCTAGTCCATTCTGGGCACATGCCACAAGCCGTAAAGCAACAAAGAATTCCTGACAAAGAAAAGCATAAATGTTAGGAGCTTTTTCTCCCAATATACCTTCTTATAAGCCTACTTTATTATTTGAAAATATAAAATACAAAATAATTCACAATTATTCCACAGTATTATGTAGCAACAAATATGACAATATATTTGTTTGAAAAACATTGCTTTAAAATTGAGGAAAAAGACATGTACAAAAATTTTTCTATCATCTATTATCACTAGTAAAAAAGGTAACATAGGATAGAGCAGATCCCAGGCAGCAGCTCTGTACCCAACCTCACAAAACCCAGAGGAAGAGGGCCTCCCAGGAGCTTTAACTCTGGCAGTATCTCAGGTATAAATGAATCACCCGTGATGTCTGCTGTTAGAAGTTCTAATCCAGATGCTGGCCCCTGAACTTATACTACTCAGACCTTCGACGGGCCATTGACAAGAATATCAAACAGCTAGAGATTGACATCACTAATCTGAAGAAATCCCTCGTTTCGCTGTTTGAAGAGACCTCCAAAAATCACAAGGACTTTAGTGGACTTGATTTACTCTTTTACAATAGAAAAGGCTGTGTACAGCTCTTGACTGTACAGCCCTTAAAGAAGAAGGTTGCCTTTACATAGACAAGACAGCGATGGTTAAAGAGAGCATGAAAAAGGTCAGAGAAGGCCCTGAGAAAAGACAGAGAGAAAGAGAAAGATGAGAGCTGGTACAAGAACTGGTTTTCAGCCCCTCCGTGGTTGTCAACCCTACTTCCTCCCATCTTGGGACCATTAATTGAGTTATTTTTGCTTATTTCTTCTGGTCCCTGGGCCTTAAATAGGCTGACAACTTTGTGTAACAACAGATAAATAATTTGGTAGCAAAACCTATTCTGATACATTATCAGAAGTTAGCTATGGAGAACCACGAGACTCAAGATGAGGTTGTTACTCTATCCAGGGTGTTCCCAAAACCCATCTCCACTCAACCTAAAAGAGGGACTTCCGCCCCTAGACCAAGCAGAGAGGGGCCACCCAGAACCCCCATTG